GAGATGACACCACCCAAAGGCCGTGCTGAACTTGAAACAATTCTTGGTATGGTCAATTATCTCGCGAAGTTTGCACCAAGCCTTTCAGATATCAATGCACCGCTGAGACAACTACTAAGGCAGGACAGTGAGTTCCTATGGGACGAACAACATGATGTGGCATTTCAAAAGCTGAAGGATATCATCACCAGGGAACCAGGCCCTGTGCTTGCATTCTTTGACACAAGCAAAGACCTCACACTGCAAGTTGATGCCTCCAAATACGGTTTAGGCGTGGTGTTGTTGCAGGAAGGCAAACCACTTGCATATGCCTCAAAGTCACTCACAGACACAGAAATAAATTACGCCCAGATCGAGAAAGAGCTCCTTGCCATTCTCTGGGGGTGCAAAAGATTTCACCAATACGTTTATGGGCGGCACATAACAGTGGAATCTGATCATAAACCCTTAGAAGCGATCATCAGGAAGCCATTGTCTGCGGCCCCACCAAGACTGCAAAGGATGATTCTGCAGTTGCAGAAGTACAGCTTCACCATCGTGCATGTTCCTGGCAAGAATATTCCAGTAGCAGATACACTGTCAAGAAAATCGATGCCCTGCCTGGATGAAAACTTCAGTGAAGGGATGGATGTGCAAGTCCATACTCTACTTAGTGCTCTCCCATTCAGTGATGCGAAACTCAGCAGTATTCGAAAAGAAACAGAGAGAGATGCGCAGATGTCTACATTAAGGAGAGTGATAAAAGAAGGTTGGCCCAATGAGAGAAAGAGATGCCCTACAGCCACCCTAGAGTACTGGAACTACAGGGATGAATTATCTGAGATGGACGGGATGGTTTTCAAAGGGGAAAAGATTGTAATTCCTACGCTGCTCAGAGAAGAGATGCTTCAGCGCATTCACTCAGGCCACATGGGAATCGAAAAATCCAAACAGCGTACTAGAGACATTCTCTTTTGGCCTGGCATATCCAAACAGATTGCTAGCATGGTTGAACAGTGTTCTGTTTGCCTTGAGCGTCGTATGTCAAACGCAAAAGAGCCCCTCATTTCTCATCCTACATCCTATCCCAAATCGGCCATGGCAGACTGTAGGTACTGATTTATTTACTTGGAATAATGAAGACTACATAGTGGTGGTAGATTATTACAGCAGATACCTTGACTTGGAGAAGCTCAAGAGCACCACAGCTGCTGCGGTGATCCTGAAGCTAAAGAAAATATTTGCATCACATGGTATTCCTGAAAAGGTTATCTCAGACAATGGGCCTCAATTCAGCTCAAAAGATTTTGAGAGTTTTGCTCATGCTTGGGATTTTGTGCATGTCACAAGTACCCCCCGTTACCCACAAAGTAATGGGCTGAGTGAGAAGGCAGTACAGATTGCAAATTCATTAATGGACAAAGCAAAAGCAGACAGAAAAGATCCCTACATCAACCTGCTAGAATACAGAAATACCCCAGTGGATGGTTTTAGATCACCGGCCCAGCTGCTGATTAGCAGAAGATTGCGCTCCATTCTTCTCACAACCAACCGACAGCTACAGCCAAAAGTGGTCTGTGTGAAAGATGTTCATGCTAGACGTGAACAAAGGCAACAGTACCAAGAAAAGTATTACAACAGCTCAGCAAAACCGCTCACCCCACTACGGACTGGGGACCATGTCCAAATTCAGGATTCAGGGAGCTGGAAACCTGCGGTAGTCATCAAGCCTACTGACTCCTTCAGGTCATACCACGTGTGCACTGCAGAAGGCCAAAGTTTCCATAGGAATCGTCGTCATCTTTTGCAAGATAAAGCACAGCCTATTAATGTGGAGTCCAGTATGTCTTTGAGCACTCTACACACAGTGCCACTGGATCACCCTAAGCAGATAGAAACAAATAATGCTGATACTTCCCACTATGTTACCAGATCAGGACGTGAAGTGAAACCCAGAGTCGTTCTTGATCTATAATTGTAAAGGGTGTAGGCGGATCGCTGCCCTAAAAAAAAAAAAAAAAACAAAAAACAATGATACAGTTGTGGGTTGTTTAATTTGTATACTGATTGTTGCAGTGATATGCTGAAACTATAATAACTGTTGTGTTGCAGTGTGTCTCCACCATAATATATCCAAGTTTTCAAAGAAAGGGGATGTAATATTCAAGCTGTTTGAATATAAATTCATAATGAGTGTTATACTATGTGTTGTGCAGTTCCTGATATAGACTCTAGAGGGCAGTGGGTTTTTTGGGAAAGTGAGTTATGTGAACAAGAAGGTGCAGAAAAAATAAAGGACCGGTTAGCAGTAAATCGGAAGAGGACTCTGATTTTTTTAGACCCCAAAAACAATACAGTTGTTGTCATTAGTTCTCTGTATTTGGTCCGCGTTTCAGTTTGTTTCCCCAGTCCGGTCATTGTAATGTTACTGCGTATTTTCCTGCCTGCCCTTTTTATTAAACCCCGTGTTCCCCGATTTCCTGACTGCCGCTCCTCTGTCTCCGCTCCGTGTCCCGCATACTGCACAACAGTAATACTACAATTTTCGGCACGATAATAGCCAATCTGCTTACCTAATAAACACAGATGGTGGACAACTTTCGCCAATGTGCAAATGGCGTTCAATTATTAAGACAATCCCAATATTAAAATTATACGTAGCTTATGATTGGTAGAGGCAAACGGAGTCCAAAACGGGAAACTGATCAATAAAATTCAAATACGTGCAAAAAAATAAATAAAACCATAAAAACCGGAATAGCGAGCAAATACGCGAAATCTGCACGGAAACGGATGTTTATCAAGGTAGTCGATCGACCCGCGCATCACTATATAGTAAACACATGACAACAAATGGAACAAAAATGCAAAATGTGCAAATTACTTCTAACATAGCCTAAGAATGAAAGCTGCAAATGAAAGAAAAATGGAAAATGTACCAATTGCTTATAGCCAAAGGGCAAAAAATAAAACGTTAAATATAAAAACCAAAGTCACCAAATGGAGAAAAACAGCAAACTGTGCAAATCAGAAGTTGGCCAAGAATAAAATTCTAAAATAACGCATATGCAAAATGTGCAAATTACTTTTAACCTAACAAATGTGTTAAATATAAGAACAGCAGCAAATGGAAGAAAAATGCAAAATGTGCAAATTGCTGAGCATATAGGCTAAAAATTAAATGTTAAATATAAAAACACCAATTGGAGTAAACAAGCAACATGTGCAACTGAAAACTAAGAATAACACATGTCTATAGTCAATATAGAAGTATTGTAGGGAAATAACTATATACATACTATGGAATTTGTTTTATGGGTTAGCATTTAAAAATACCAGTTGTTGCACTTTTGAAGTGCTGAGGCTGCTCCTCCTGTCTGAGACGATTTGTCCAGCTTCTCTATTTCATAAATACTTCAAAATGTTTATTTTTATTAAATGTATTATTAGTCATGAATGTAATTGCACACGGTCTTTCATGTGAAGTGATAAATGTCTAATTTCCATGAAATTTTGTGCTCAGACAAAAACAAAACAGCGTGTTCGTGGAGGCAGCCATGTTTGTTCCGAGATGTGTAGCTTGATCGCGAAATTTGTCGGGTCTCGCACCTCGAAATTCGTCGGGACAAACGAATGCACGAACGCGCTATCCGAATGCGCTAACCTGCTTGGGTTAGCGGTTCAGAACTAGCTGCATAATTCCGGCTGTAGAGGGAGCTAACCGGCGGATTCACTCATGGCTGTGTGCAATCCGGGTGCGCTAACCTGCTCGGGTGAGCGGTTCCGAACCGACTGCATGATTCCGGCTGTAGAGGGAGCTAACCGGTGGATTCACTCATGGCTGTGTGCCATCCGGGTGCGCGGTTCCAAACAGCTGCATGATTCCGGCTGTAGAGGGAGCTAATTCACTCATGGCTGTGTGTGATCCAGGTGCATATGACGTTGTAGCAGCTATACTTGCCACTATAGCAGTATTGATCTTGTAATGAGTTTGAAATGATTATAAGAGGTATGTACGTGATGGGCTTTATAGTTTAGTCATGGGGTACTTAGGACTCGATGGATGAAAAATTGTGTTAAATGTTTAAGCATTCGCCACTTGTGTATACTTGCTTTGAAGATATTCATATTGAACTGCAAAACAAGATGTAGAAACGAGTTGGAACAGTACGTTATGTATGTTTGTAGTAGCCTAATTAAATATATTTTGTTATGCATTTTTCCATCTGTATTTACTAGCTTAAAAAATAATATATAAAGTATAACAAAGTAAAAAAAGCTCTTGTATCGGAATCTATCGGTATCGGTAATTGTGTATTGGAATCGGATCGGAACTGAAAAAATGTGGAGTGCCAATCCCTACTTTTTTTTTTACTAGGACTCAATTGTACATCAACTGAAAGGGGGTACTGAAAGCACAGCACCAAAAGTACAGTACCTGGTACAGTGAAAAAGTGCCCATTTAGCGCAATGCCTAAACGGAAAATCTGAGCAGAACGCATCACTTAACGTGGAGTGACAGTACTCAGGTTGTGAGTCAATGGTCAGCTCCCCATAGACAAAATAATGCAATGCCCAACTTAGCTCATCACTTGATGCTTACCATGTGAAAACCCCATCAGTCAGGCAGAGTAATTGTCAGTGAAAGGAAACAGCACCGTTGAGAGCTGAAGGTGTCACCAAGGGCGAAATTGGCTGGTCAGAGCAGTGTACACTGTTGCTGCTAATCTCACTGCTCACATTCTGTCCTGTTTCATGCTCTGATGACTTTGGGTTCTGAATTCCCCAGGGTTCCAGGCATGTAACATCTAACCATTTTTCTGATAACATTTGTCAATTTTTTTCCTTTGCAGATTGAATCCATTATCTGCCTGCTTCTGAATACCCACTACATGCTATTTAAGTGTCACAGAACAAACCAAACAATAAAAGCTCAAAGGCTGCATGTCAAAATGCAGCAAGGAACCCTTGATAAATCATGGTCACAGAAATGAGCGGAAGCCCAGGAATCAGGCTTTTACCTGCAAAAGGCCTTTGTCTACCAGTTCACGGGTAGCAAAGTAGAACGACCCATTCTCACATAGCTCCCCTGCCCAGTCCTGCCTGCGGGGTCGATGAGCTGGGTCGAGGTTTAGTGGGTTTGTGTAGCTGCCTGCTAGAGAAAGTCAAAGAGTAGGAACACTTTAATGAGGCTGGCCGCCTACCAGGCAACACGCCCATCTTTAGGGCATGCAAAAAGCATCCATCCACTCTTCCAGCCAGCTATCCAATTACCCAGCACAGGGTCACAGAAGAGTGAAGAACAGGACCTTATACCCCAGGGAGAATAGGGGAATAGGGTAGAGGCACATTTGCGATACATACAGGTACGTCATTTTCATGTCTTTGTGGGGACTCTCCAATTCTATGGGCAAAACACTAATCCCAACAATGACATCCTTAACCCCTACCCAGCCCTACCTTTAACCATAAGTAAACAAACAAAATACAAAACCATTTTTTAGTTTTTTGACTGCAGTCACATTTTTACAAAATTCAGTTTCCGGTTGTGGGGACCAAAACAATATCCCCACAGTCAAAAAATGTTTTGTATTGTGGGGACATATGGTCCCCAAAATGTTATATATGCACATCACACACACACACACACACACACAAGGCAATTTATAGATACCAGTTTTACCAACTGTTTGGGCTGCTAGAAGAAACCAGAGTGTACACAACACTAGGAGAACACAAACTGCACCCACAAAAAGAGGGGGGCACAATTAGAACCCATATCCCTGGGGAAGAGAGGCAACAGTGCCATCAACTATGATACCCTAGATCAGGGTTATTCAACTCAGGCCCTCGATTCCAAATCCAGGCCTTGTTTTCAGTTCTCCCAGGTAGTTAGTTTAATAATTATTGATTCTGTTTGGTCAGAGGCTTCACACCTGGCTCACAGGAGAAGGAAGGCTGGAAAATCAGCAGGGCTCGGCCCTCGAGGACCGCGAGTTGAATAGCCCTGCCCTAGATTAAGAAAAGAAAATGTCAAAATACACAGACAATGACTAATACAAGGCAACATCGAATGGGACACAAATGTGATAATTATTAAGCATCATTCATATTAGGCATGGCAAATACTAAATCATTACATCCCAAGTGTGTAACAGTAAGCCATACCTCCCTTCTTGACTTCCTCCCAGCGAAAGTGGTGCCTGCGGACCACAGAGAAGACAGACTCATAGCCTTGCTTGGTGATCATCTCCAAGGCTTCCTTCAGGTGATAGGGGTGCAAGCAGGGGGAGGTGGCTTGGATGTTGCAGATGACGTCCACATCTGAGGAGACAGAGAATCAGGGTTCAGCACCAAAGGGTAGGGGAAATCAGATGTCTTGTTCCTTCTCAGGTACCATGATGAATGTCATTCTTCAAAATGCTAAACATGTCTTACATTGATCTGCTTGATCCTATTAAGTACATCCCCAGTAGCTTTCTGTTAAAGCTTAATTTCATTTACGTTCATTTTGCAGATGCTTTTATCCAAAATAACGTGTAATTGAGAAGGAGGGTGTCAGTCAGTCTCTGAGGCAACTGGGGATTAAAGGGGGTTGCATACTTCAAACAAAATCGATGGGATCAATGTTGTTTTAACAATATGACAGCATATCAATGTACTGCCGGAGGGAAATTTTTTCATGTTTCTGATCCCACACAATGTCCACAACTGACTGACAAAAAGTGACATCACAGGGTTGGTAAGCAGGACTAATTTTGCAGTTGAGATGCTTTATACTTTAGATATCAGCAATTTAGTAATATGTGTATTCATGTTGTAAATATTAAATATTGTAACCCTGTAATACGTGTTTCGTTCATGTGTAACTGACTATTTTATGGCCTTCCTTCCAAAACTATCAACAGATTACAGTATGTACAAAACTTTGCTGCCTGTTTACTTATACAAGCTTCATGATTTGCACTGGTTGCCAGTTACTTCCAGAACCGAACACAATATTATACTTATTACATGCCAAGCTTTCCATAGACTTGCCCCTCACTATTACAGTTTCTTCATTCCTACACCCCAATATGTGAATTAAAAATCTATCAAAAATTTCAAACATCATCTGTTTAATGAATGTTATATTGGGTTTTCCATTGTGTATCCTTGAATTCATTTTGATGCTGTTGGTTCACTTGTTTCATCATATTTAATTATGAGTCATTCCATGTCAAATCATCACACTTTCGGACCTCATCGTCACGGATTTTAACTAAACTTGACATGCTGATTTGGTCACATAAGTAACTCATGAAACTGAAATTGGGGGAGTCTTGGATCAATACTGTGTGAGCGAACAAAGTTTTAACTTTTTTTTTGGGGGGGGGTGCTATGACTTTGACTGGTTATATTTACCTTAATGTAAGCTGCACAGAAGTGGTCCTTATACTGTTTTAAAGCTATTGTCCATCTCTATAGATTGAACAAATAATAATGCCATCCCCATTTAAATAAATTACTATGTAATAATTGATTAATATATTAAAAATTCAATAACGAAAAAACCTATATTTCAAAATCGATCATGTCATGAACATCTCCAGAAAATTTTGCCTTTGGTTTTTAATGTGTTGCCGAGATATCTTGACTTAAAGGTAGTATCACATGGTTTCACATCACTAATGAGCCTTTTTAATGGCAGCCAAACTGACATGTAATAGTATAACAAGCACAGGTGTAAGTAGTAACATTAATTAAGGTTACAAATATGCTACAATGAAATTAAATGGAAGCTTCATTAATGTCATTGCAGAAACTTGTACTTGCCATACCATTGAAAAGACCCACATGACTAGTAAATATGGCTAATAAATGCCCTGCATTCATCAGAGGTGAATGAGGTGTGGAAATCGGTCCAGTGTAAGAGCACACTTAGGGAATCACTCGGCTGTGCAAGCATCAAAGGTTATGTCGTGAATGAATATGATGATAATTGGTGGCTAGGATGTGTTGAAGAAACCAAGACTCGCCCAATTTCAGTTTCACCGGTTACTCAAGTGACCAAATCAGCATGCCAAGTTTTGTTAAAATCCGTGACGACGAAGTCCGAAAGTATGATGATTTCACATGGAACGACCCTTATATGTATTGTAAATGTCCTTAAGTGAGAAAGGTGCTATATAAACAAAAAACTTATTATTAGTATTTCTCATGCAAATTGTTGACTTCCCTGTCTGTGCCGCTGCTAGACCAGTAGTGCCTGGTAATAAAAACAGCAACTTCCATTCTAAAACACCTGTCATCTTTATTAATTGACGCATGTTCACAGCACAATGGACAATTTATTTGGGCTCTATTTGTGGGTCTGCTGCATCAAAAAAAATCTGTGCTGCCTACTGTTGTGGCATGACATAGAACAAATAAGGCACCATACTTTTAAGTATGAAATAGATTGTTGTTTTGTTATGTCCTGTCCAGACATTCTTGGAAGGGCCATCTTAAATGCCTTGCTCAGTGGCTCAAAGGTGATATCTGCCAAGTTCAGGATTTAAACATAAGAACATAAGAACTATACAAACGAGAGGAGGCCGTTCGGCCCATCGAACTCGCTTGGGGAGAACTTAACTAATAGCTCAGAGTTGTTAAAATCTTATCTAGCTCTGATTTAAAGGAACCCA